CAACCAAGAAACAAATACCAACATGACTGGGAAATTCTAAGAAATATTACTAACAAAACAAAACGAACAAAAATAATCTATACTCCTAATCTCATAAATATCTCAACACATCATCAAAACTTAACTACTACTATTAATAGCAATATTGACATAAATATACAAAAATGGTTTATTCAAAATGTTCTAATACTTTCTACATTTAACTAACTATAATTACCAAACTTAAGGTCTCCTTTCTCCCTTTTCTTTAACTAGTAGTAGCTTTGTCATAATTTAACTTAAACTAGTTTATAAATAGAAAATTGAAGGTAATATGTTATATTTTACAGTGCTATATAGAAATAATTAATAATAGTTTAAACCTAATATCATCTTGATATTTACCATGTAACTATTTGCTTTCTATATTTAACATATTAAATAAAAAAAAAAAAAAAAAAAAAAAAAAAAAATAAATTAAATAAAAATATAGTCGCACCTCGATATAGTCACACTCGATATAGTCACAAACTCAATATAGTCACGAGTTTATTTTTACCGATTCATTTTATATTACTTTACTCTTTATATAGTCACAAACACGATATAATCACAGTCACTAGATTTTGTATTACGATAGTTATTAAGTATATAATAAATTACTTCGATATAATCACAAATTATATAAGCATTTTCTGCTTTCAACCAAGTGTACAAAATTGTTCAGGACCCTTTTTTTTTTTGAAAAAAATATTCATGCTTTAATTTTCACGTAGGGCATTTAATGTTTCAAAAATTAGAATACATCGTATAAATTCTTTATTAAATAAAAGATGTACAGTATATACGTACGTACATACCTATGCACACTTTGACTTTCTTGTAACTCGGGTTACATAAGAAGAGGTTTAACTATAATCTATATATGCATTTACCGTTACAAAGAACTTACCATATCAATACTGATTATGCAATGTACATGTTTTGTACTTCTGTTTGTAGCTACATTTTTACAAAGAGCTTTGGATAATGATACGTATAAAAGCGTGGTCCCAACGAACATTAATTAAAAAAAGAATATCTCACCAGACTTAACTTCTCGATCGAAAGTCTTAGTTTTGATCAATTTTTTTTTCTTGCACATCTAATATCTTGTGCACACTTTTTTTTCCGAATTATGACCTCGTGAATTATAAGTTAATTTTTTATAAAATTTTTTTTCTTCCCTAAAACCTCCTTGTACATACATGCACCTTTTCTTTCGAATTATATTACCTTGTGAGCCATAAGTTAAATTTTTTTTTTCGAAGACCTCCTTGTACACACACGCACCTCGTGAACTATAAGTTAATTTTTTCTTCTCTAATACCTCCTTGTACATACATATGATATACGCACCTTTTCTTCTGATTATACCTTACCTCATGAACTTGGGTACTGAAAGTTTATACAGTATCGTGTGGATACACCTTCCCTTTCGAATTATGCTTTTTTTTTTTTTATGACACATGTACTTTTACTTCCAATTATGCTTTTTTTGCCTTGTGAGTTTTTTTTATAAGAATTTTTTTTTAATATTGTATTGTACTGATTTATGCTTTGCCTGCTGTACTACCTTTTTTTCTTTTAAAAACCTTCATATAGAATCTTACACATATGTACCTTTCTTTCCAAAATTATGCCTCCTGATTATGTAGTCAAAAAGACACATAGCAGACTAAGCAATGCCTAGCATAAAGAAATATGCGAATACGCTAAAGCAAGACTAGCAGCTAGACATCAAGACATTGCAGATAAATTTATGAGGAAGTATCCTATGCTAAAACTTGATAGATCAACTATCACCAAGACTTTACAAAAAAGTGAACAATATTTTTACCTTGAAGAAAGTCCCGTAATACAAAATCGGTGTAAAAATAAACCACCAAAGTATTCCTTGCTCGAGACAGCAATGACAATTTGGGTAAATCAAGCTTCCTCTACTGGTATGGTTCTTTCAGACGAGTTGGTAAAATTAAAAGGCTGTGAATTTGGTAATCATCTTGGTATTCCTGAAAATGAACTTAAGTTCTCAAACGGATAGGTTTCAAACTTCAAGAAGCGAAATTCTTTACGTCAATACCGATTTAATGGTGAGGCTACGAGTGCGCCTTTGGAAACTTTAGCAGATGGAAGGATTAAGCTGAGACAGCTTCTTTCCCAATATGAGCCTGAGAACATATATAATGCTGATAAAACTGGGTTATTTTATCGAATGTTACCAAATCAGACGTTAGCACAGCAAGCGGTTTCTGGCAAAAAAAGGGTAAAAAATTAATTTTTTACTTTTCTATTTAATAAAATAGGAAATTAATATATGCCTTGCTGTATTACTATTCAGGACAAATCATGACTTATCGTATTGTTAGCTATAAACGCAACTGGATTGCACAAACTCTGGTCGTTGGTTATAGGTAAATCAAAAAAACCATGGTCTTTCAAAGGAATAAAGATATTACAACTTCCAGTTATGTATGAAAACAATGAACGTGCATGGATGAAGTCTGATATTTGGGAAAAGTAGTTAATATTTCATGATAAAGGTTTTCATATTCAAAACAAGAAAATTTTGTTAATCATGAATAATGCTAGATCTCATAGTGAACCAGAAATACCCACTTCTTCTGATGACAATAGAGATCAAAGACCTGAAGACAATGAATTAGGTTCTGAGTACAAAAATGGTGAAAATTTTATTTCTGAGGGTAGTGAAAATGATGAAATTCCTAATTCTGAAGGCAATGAGGATAATCAGTCTAATTTTCAATCTCGTGGAGGAACTCGCGGAAGAACTCGTGGAAGAACTCGTGAGAGAACTAGAGGAAGCACTTGTGGAAGTACTCGCAGAAGAACTCGTGGAAGAACTCATGGAAGAACTCGTGGAAGATCGCGCGGAAGAACTCGAGGAAGACCGCGTGGAAGAGCATGAACAATTTCATCACATAATGAACAAAATAATACTTCTAGCAAATTCAAGCTCACAAATATTAAATTGCATTATCTTCTACCTAACACGACCATGTATCTACAACCACTAGATGCTGGTATCATTAGGTCGTTCAAATCTAAGTACAAAAACTTCTATTGCAAACATGTTCTTAATCAATTCGAGTCAAATATTGATTTAGAAGAGTTAGTACTGTAAATCTTATATTTTATGACTTTCATTTGTTTGATTTATTTTATTAATTCAACTTTTTTTATTTATAGAAATAAACTAAATATAAAGCAAGCAATCGATTTTATTGCAGAATTATGGAGCGACGTAACCGATGTAACTATTCAAAATTGCTGAAGTAAGACAGGAATTCTTTCAGATATAAGTGAGGTAGAGATAGAAATTACAAATCAAGAATCTGAAAGTGATTTTTTAGATGATGAGTTGCAGAAATTATTGTAGATTTGTCATCAAGTGATGATCCCGAAGCTTCTAACATAGCTCAGATCATGGAAAGGTATATTCAAATAGTCAATGAGCCTGTTGCGATGGAAGGAATGCTCAATGATGAAGAAATAATTACTATAGTTCAAGCCGAAGAAAACGAACAAGAACAAGAAAGTGATGATGATGAAGAGCCTCCTCCTCCTTCTGTTACAGCTAAAGAGGTATATAACACAATACAAACTGTTTTACGATATAAAAAGCAGACTAATTCAGAATCTAACCTCGAGCTTGCTGAATTGGAATTTTTGTGAAAGTTAAATAACAACTACAGGCATGCGTATAGGAAGTCCAAAAAACAAATACCAATTACATCTTTTTTTACTCCTGAATATTAATAAGTC